CTCTTTGTTCTTGTATCTTTTTTCCCCTCAATGCCAACACTGCAGAATGAGCATAAAATGAAGATTTCTGTACAGTTCTGATAGCGTTGGTACAGATGGCAGTCACCCTCCCAGTGTCAATAAGCAAAGCATGGTCATTAAGAACAGTGTGAGCAGACATCATGAGCAGTAAAATCTGTGCAAGCCAGCCATGATAGAGGAGGAGCCTTTTGGCACAGAAAGGAATGTTGCCAAAGAGGGGGTAATGGTGAAACCTATCTTGAAAACAGCATGGAAGCACTGGAAGCTCTTTGGAGAGAGAACACCACTTTTGATAATGCTCTTATCACTGTTTCATAACAACTGCCGGGAAAATCTTGCATTTGCTGGCATCCATAATTATCACACTGTGTACCTACTGGTTTGTGTCTCTACCAGACAAAACTATCAGATGTTCCCTTGAGCAATACTTGCTAAAAAGGAAAACCACCTTTTGGGAGAATTAGGCTTTCTGATTTTCAGGCAGTAGTAGAGGAAGAGAAGAGTGCCCGACTGCTGACACTGGATCAGGACAGGATTCTGGGCCTCACCGTTGACCACATGTGTGACCTGAGACTGGTTTCCTACCTCTCTGAGCCTCTGTTAAGTCCTCATTAAGAAGGAGTAAACATCTACCTCACAGGTTTAAAAAAAAGTCCTTTGCAAGCTGTCAAGTGTTACAGAAATGCAGACGATGGTGATGAAGATCATGGGAATGATGACAAGAAGGATAACTATAGTATATCTGCTCTAAGTAACTTTTAAACATGTATCCAAGGGTAGCAGTCATCTGCAGTGACTCTCCTGAGCCCTGTGATGAACAGAGTGAAGCCCCATAAATCTGAACACTGTTGATGCTCAGTTACTCATAGAAACTGTGTGCAGTCCTTACCATCCCCCTCCCTTCAAGAGTTGCTGCCCAGGACACTCTATTGGCCTCACAGTTTGAGCAGACACTGGCAGTTCCTGCCAGCCTGACTGCCAGGTCCTAGTCCTGGTTCAATCCCAGAGCAAGAGGCTTACTCCGACCCTGCAGAGCAATATGGCAGCAGAATTTCCAGGACCAGGCCCTTGCTCTTCCAGAGACAGGCCCTGTAGTGACCAAAAGGGTACTGTATCCAGGCAGTCATGCTCATCTCAGAGAGTCCAAGCATCTACATTAGCATCACTGAGAATGTTTGCTAAAATGCACCTTGGAGCCCATGCAAGAGAACTGCAAGCCATGAGTGGAGAACTGTCACCCCAGACCTGTCATCTCTCCACCAGTATACCCACGTTCATGAGACAATGCCATTGTCACATGAGGAAAAGACAAGAACTTCTTATTACATCAAGAAATGAGCACATCCTGAGAAGTTCCTGGCATGCCTAATTAATACTCAGTTTATCACAAGGTCCATCAGGGGTGTGTCCCTTTCAGCTAGAGCCAGCCTGAGAGTGAGGACTCCAAACCACAAAGGCCCACACTGTGGGCCAACACTGCTATATGTGCTTCCAGGGTACAGGAACAGACTGCAGTTTCCTCATGCAGCAAGTTTATGAATTGCATTATACAGTTTCAGGTAAGCTAAGCCTAAAAATAGATGTCTTAAAAAACTTCCTGTAAAAAAAACACAGTATTTGGAAGATAATGTCAGCAAGTTTGTACCCGTGAGCAAGAAGATAGCAGAGCTGACACTTCCACTCTCGGCCATATTAGAGACTAAAAATGATGATGATCTGATCGAATTTCAGAAAAGGCAGCTAAAAAGTCCCAAACTTAAAAATTATCCCAAAGACTACTGAAATACAGACTACAGCCATTGTCAAGTCTGAACCTCCCCTGAAGGGAGGATGTGTCTTAAGGTATCAGCTGCAGTCATCATAAAGCCATCAGGATTAGCAAGACTGGGGAACCAGAATTTTATGATTAGTAAACCATTAGCAAGAGCAAAAAGTTTTGTGCTGTTAATAAAATATTTTAAATAGTAAACAAATTTTCTTGGTCAGGTCTAGGACACAAGACCTGGGAGGTCCTGTGACAGGCTGAGTATCAATGGGAGTGCAGGTCATTCCTTATGATTTGCTTATTTCTTAATGGAAATAGAAGTTCTTGTCCTTCCCTCACTGACAATGGCATTGTCTTATTAATCATCTGGGATGTGGGCACTCTACTGGAAAGACAACGGGCTAGAGGGATGTTCTCAAACTGCAGTTTACAGTTCTCTTTAAAAGTATTCACTTCATCTTTATCACACTTAAACATTTCCATGTTGGTCTATTTCACAACGCATTTACTACATATGATCCAAGTGTATAATTTGTAGTAAACACACATGTTACATGTATATGCCTGAATCCTGTGACTGGTGGCTGATAGAGTGTCCTGGGCAGCAACCTCCGAGGGGAGGCCGATGGTAAGGACTGCACGCAGTTCCTCCAAGTAACTAAGTGTCAGCAGTGTCCAGATATGCGGGGCTTCACTCAGTCTATCACAGGGATCAGCTTCCATCCACCACTGCTCGGAACTACTAGGAAGCCAAGCCTCGCCCCGACCCATATACTCTGCTCCTCGCTAAGTCATGCTATTGCTGAATGAAAGAGCACCTTGGAGAGTCCAGGACTTTGTCAAACAAACTTAGAAGAAAAATGCGGAGTAGGCCAGTCTCACTCCTCCAGGCAGGAGACCCTGAAGGATGTCTTGTCTCTGTAGCATGTTTTGCACAGACTCTCCCAGTAGGCCACGCCAGACTCTGAAGCCAAGTCTGCTCTTGACAGTCTCCTGGGCGAGTACAGAACCAGGTGTGATCCTCTACCTGGGAGATAGTGAACACCAATTGCAGGCCACAGCCCCTGACCCTGGACCTTCCAGCTCTATCTATTTTCATGTACTGCTGGCTCCTCTTCCCCTGAGTCACACTCTGTGACCTCCACTCCAACTCCCAGGACTTTGTTTATTCAAAGACCCAGTTTGGACTCTTTTTTCCAGTTTGCTAACCTTGACCCACCTCATTTCATTTCAGATGGCATGCCACTTTAGCCCCACACATCCACAGCCAGGATGAGAGGGGTTCCTGCCACTCGCTCTGAGCAGGTATGTCTAGCAGGCTTCCCCTCTACCCAAGGAAGGCCAGTGATTACACACTGTCCTGGCAGGAGAGATATCATGCAGGGACGCTTCTGGCACCCACTCCGTGCCACATCAGTGTCTTCCTCACTCTTCCAGACCTACTAAGGGAAAAGGACATCCTTGGCAAGAGAGAACTGTATAAGAAAGGCCTTTGCTGACTACTTCCTGTTGTACTCTCTGGAGCTGCTGCCCCAGGAGCTCTTTTCAGTCATTACAGTCTGCAAGCCTGCAGGCCAGACTCCCTGCTCCATCAAGACAAGAGGACAAGGACAGAGTCAGAGTCAGGAGACAGGAGGACTCAGGCACTGGGTTCTTTCATTTGATTTGGTGATAGACATCTCTCCTCCGGTTCAGTTTCCCCACCTTCCACGCCAAGGCTCTCCTGCTTACTGCCTGTGTGCGTGGTCCTCTGACCACACGCCTGCACCACCTGCTGCAGACCTCCCGGCTTGGGCTCCACTCACAAGGAAGTGGCAGTTGGCCTCCTGGATGGTTCCCAGTGATCCCTACTCCTCTCCATCTACCCCCACCCCCGGGCTGGTGTTCACACCCTGAGTGTGGGCTGAACCTACCGACTCACTTCTAACACACAGAAAAGAGCAGCAGTGATTGCACTTCTGAGGTTAGGTAACAAAATGGCTGTGACTTCCTTCCAGGGCACTCGTTTCCACTCTCCAGATCTCTCTCAGGTCACCAGCTTCCACCAGCTGTGGAAATACTAGGGCAGCCTGAGAGAGACCCCCATGTGAGGAGCCAAATGTGTGAGCTTGGAACCAAATCTTGCCCCACCCCTCCACCTCTGTCAAGCCTTCAGATGAGACCGCCCAGTCAATGCTTAGCCTACAGCCTTGTGAGAGACCCTGAGCCCAGATTCCTGACTCACAGGTACTGAGAGACAATAAGTATGTGTTGATCAAGCCACTATGTAGGTAATTGTTATGCAACAACAGATAGCTAATACAAGGGCTAGGCTGTAGGAATGGATCTGTGATGGATATGGAACAGCCTGAGATGATGGGTGTTTGTGTATACAAGGAGGCCCAGGTATAAACAGGGAGACCAGGGAAGGTCTGCCTCTGCCAAAGGCTGATAGGTACCTGTGGCTCTGCCTTCACGGTGGGGGAAGGGAGACAGATGCAGCGTGCACCCAAAGTTCTGCTCCCCACACCCGAGGGCCTGGGAGCCCCATTTCTGAAACTTGACCTCATGCTTAGTAGAATTCACTTACGCCGGGCATATGTATAAAATGCAATAAGGGCCACAGGACTTTCCAGCTTAGTACAGAAACTTGATCTACATTCACTCAAACCTGAGGGCTTGTACATAAGTAGGTCTAGGGCGAGGCAAGATCACTTACCCTTAGCTCAGTTCTAATCTTGATAAAGCATCCCTTAGCTTGTATAGAATGGATATTTCAAGTAAGGTTTATTATTTGTGTTTTGTTTGCCCTGGATACCAAAATCATCTTTGCAATAAAGCACATATAACATTATAAAAACTAAATAAAATATCGTGTGATCTGAACAGCATAAAAAGAGATTTGCATTAAAACAGATTTGTATTAAAATGTTTCCATTAGGAGGTGGATTTTAGATACCCGTCCCTATGAAACAACAAAGAGTGACACCAAAACCTAGGACCTTAAAAGAACTGTCATGGTGTCAAGCACTGGAATACAATAGAACTAACCTACAATTAACTTCATGAAGTCCAAACTCTGCCATTAGTTCTTACGCAAAACTTCTACTGAAATTAGTAGGAAAGATGTGGACAAAGTTAAGAAAATCTTGCCTTTACAGTCATCTCACCTGAGGGAGAACAGTTATGGTTTTGTTTTATTTACTTTAAGCTCTAACATGGCTATTTTACTTACCACTTGGAAGCCCGAGGCGTATATAAGCTCTCTTCATTAATAGGGGTCGTTAACACATGATGGTTTACAACATTTAAATACTTCTCAATGTGAATCTGTTACAGAAAAGTCAAAGTTTAGGTGATTATAGTGGACTTAAGATACTCAGTTAATTTACTTCATTTCATTAGGTTAACACTCTGAATCGTGTAATTAAGTCAAAAAATGCAACAAGCTATGTGTACATGCCTAGGGTATCATCAGGCATCTCAAGGACAAATTACTTCAACTATCCCAAAAAGCATAATAAACAATTGAAACCCAAAGCTCGAGTGACCCTTCACAAGTTAAATTGTGCACAATAGTCAGTAACTGGTTTACACAGGTAAATCTACTAGGCAGTACAGACATGAAGTCATGTCTTTCTTTTACAAGGACTTCAAGCAAGCACCCAAGGAAAGCATTTGACCTTTTGGTAACAGATTATTTAAAGGAGCCAGCCCAAAGACTCCTGCTGGGTCCAACCCGCTCACTGTCAAGTAATAAAAGACAATACTGTGCAGTTCTGAAGAGGCTGTAGTACACCATATTTCTCACAGCCTTAGAGCTGAGGGATGCCACTGATAGCATAGTAAGTGAAAGTTTGAAGCGAGAGCAGAGACTCTGAGGTCTGGGAGATGGAGATGGCCCTTACTTGAAAGAAGGATCCAATGAGTGAATATTATCCTGCCCTGAAGACAGGACTCTCTGCTGCTCTCACCTCTGTTTGTAATGATGAGGTTCTGGTCCACTTTATTTCTCTGTTCCAAAACTGGTGTAATTCTTAGCTTTACCCATTTGATTACAATATTACAAAGATGAATAACTCAAAATATTTGAGCTATTGAGGAAAAATCAACCCTTAATTTTTAGAATGTCAGTAAATCCCAGTAAATCTGCATTGTATTGGTATGACTCATTTTTTGTTCAGGCAAATCCCACATTTTAGAAGTTGTCACTGAATAATCTTACATTTAATCTACTTAAATTCTTTGTGGAATATGACAGGATGTAAATCAATCAATCAGCTAATAATTATCACTGAAACAACCAACAAAATAAGAATGCTGATGACTGCCCTAAATTCATCTTTGTTACAGAATTACACAGGGTTCTATGAGAACAATATCTCTTTTCTTCTAGAGGCTTCTTTGTCTACTTCTAGAATTTTATTTACCATCTAAAGCACTACTTACTCTTAACCCCATTTCAGTCCTTTTGATTGCTGTTTCTAGATTCTGAATGTCTAGGGTCTCTTCTTTATTCTCAGGTGAGAATTTTGTTAACTTTTCCTTTAATTGATAAAGGTCTTCATGGACCTGTAGGTATAAAAATATAAAATATTGAAGGAATACATGTGACCCACTTATAGCAGTTCTTGAGCTTAACACTTTGCAATGTGCATAGACTGGTAAAGGCATGAAGTTGATTAGACGGTATTAATTGAAAAGGCCCACCTCTACACTTCTAAGACATTAAGTATCATATCCCATTATTGTCTCTCTGATTTTGGAAAATGGTGCTCCAACACGATTTGGTTCTCCCTGTCCTGTTAGAAATAGATTTAAGATAAACCTGTAACTCAAATGGCTTCTGCTTTCTCAGGTGGTGAAACAGCAGCCAGAGATGCTAAGTTAGTGCCAGACTTCAAATTCCACAAGCTGGCTAGGAGGAAAGAGACTTCCAGCAGAGGAGGCCAGTGGCAACAGGGCCTTTCAAGAGCGTGGTCAAGGTGTAGGTGGGTCCTGGTGGTTTCCATCCCAGCTGGGTGCTCCCCACTTGCTGTTCTCAAGAAGCAGTTTGGTCGGTTGTGGCCTTGATTTTATGCAGTGAAGAATGAAAATAATCCCTGAAAAAAAGCAACATATGTTGTTTCTCTAACATTTTCCTCCCTTGGAAATGTATTTTCCTGGGAAATGATGAACATCTCTCTAGTGTCACGCACTCTCAGAAAAAAACAGGCCCCGTGAAATCAGGGAGCACAGCACTCGACATTCATATTAGAAACCAAACTTCAGATAAATACAGATGGTGCCAAGTATTGCATGGGCTGCTGCCACAAGAAACATATTTTGTTATGCAAATGTATGAACCCAACACCTGTTTCAGCAACAGTCACCCCACCCACAGTCTGCAAACTGGCTGCTAGCGGCATTCCAAGACGGTCGCCTCTCCTCTGTTGGTGTGGCCAGGCTCACTTGGGGATCCAGCCTACATTATTAACTAATCCCAAATGTTCCCAGGGAGCCAAGCATTCAAAAGAGCAGAATTTGTATCTTCCACTGATGGGCATCACAGTCTGGTTAGACTGAATTTGTGACCTGCACAAATTGCCACACAAAGCCTGAAGTCTGAACATACCTATTACTTGCCTGCAGGTACCAGGGTGAAGATGTCCTCCTTTCCATTATTCTGTCTGAGTCACTGCTGCGAGTGGATTTATCATCTACTGTCTGGACATGTTTGGGATGTACAGAGAAACAGTTCAAAGGCAAGGCCCTTCTAGGCCCTTGCATTGTGGTTTCTCTTTAGGGTACACTGACATACCTCCTCTGGACTCTGGGGGCTCTGAGTGTCTTCCTGTAATTACATCTGTCAACTGCTAGGGGAATGAACTGCACTGATCACTCCTCAGAGCACCAAATATTTGGTTTTTTCACCTGTCTTGTGTGAATGATGACACTTCACAGGGTTGTAAGATAATATGTAATAAAAGGCAGCCGAACACAATTCTTAGCTCTATCCCTTACTAGTCACATGATATCCATGCACATCATCCACTTTTCTAAATCTTTAATTCCTTTGCCAAGAAAAAAATAATTGGCCAGATACAGTGTTTCACGCCTATAATCCCAGAACTGTGGGAGGCTGGGGTGGGAGGATTGCTTAAGCCCAGGAGTTCAAGAAAAGCACGGGCAACAATGTGAGACCTCATCTCTACAAAAAAATTTAAAAATAAACCAGATGTGATGGCATGTGCCTGTAGTCCCAGTTACTCAGGAGTCTGAGACAAGAGGATCACTTGAACCCAGAGGGTCGAGGCTATAGTAACCATGATTGTGCCAACTGCACTCCAGCCTGGGTGACAGAGTGAGAACCTGCCTCAAAAATAAAACAAGAGAATAATTTACCCTACTTCTTAGAAGTATTGAATGAAAATGAGGCAATATATATGAAAGTGAATAAATACAGGCTTTGTTGCCAACAGGTATGAACTGGAATCTGGCTTCCTCCTTTACTAAACCAACATGGGAAAGTTCCTTAGCTTCTGAGAGGCTTAGAGTTCTGCAAAATTAGAATAATAATAGCTACCTCAGAACAGAGACCAAAAGAAAATGAGTTAGAATATGTAACATGCTTTGCACAGGGCTGGCCACACAGAAGGCACTGAATATGTGTGAGGTCTTCTCTCCTGAATCATAAAACAGAGTGACACTCCCTGCACCGTCACAGACCTTGTAAACGTTCACTGGAATTGCTCCCTGACCTGCCTCAAGAATGCTTTCCCTTTCTTGCCAGCCACCTTCCCCTCCCTTCCTGATAACCGCCATCTGTTTGCCCAATTGCCATAGAGACGAGCACTGCAGGAGTGCTGCAGCAGACGCAGGCAGGAAGAGAGATGCTCTCCACGTCTCTGTTCTTTCTTTACACAGACCCAACCCACCATGTTGACGTTTCACAGGTCACCCTCATCTCTGTGGTCATTAAACACACTGCTTTCCATAAACCGTCTACTTAGAGAAACATCATTATTACTTTGACAGTTTGGGGACAGAGCTGCTTAATAAGCAGCCCTTGAAAGAGTTAATGCAGCAAAGATTTGCTCTATAACTTGAAAGAGTAGTGAAACCAGACTCCATACTGTCAGGAGCAGATCCAATTCCATTTCACTCATCTCCACTAGAGTTTGACTGAGTCAGTCTCATCAGTCGAGCCATCTCCAGCCTCATTCATTTTTATATTGCATGGGCCTGGCAAATCAGTCAGAGGGATGGATAAGAGACAATGAAGACAGCAAGCTGTCAATGGAGCTCCAATACTTCCTAGGCTGGTATTAATACACAACTGTTGAATTTTTGAAATGATTTCTAAAATTGATTAAAAAGTTAATTATGATTGCAAAACCAGGTAATCCTTGTTGCAGAAATATATATTTAGTAGTTGGGTCAAGCAAGCATTTACAAAGATGCATTTAAAAGATACCACATTACTCATGAAGCATTTTCAAAAGCTTCTAGGAGCTGCTAATTTTTAAAGAAGCATGTAGGAAGCACCCCAGAGTCACTATTGCACTTCTTCAAGGTCATTGCCCAAATACCCACAGCCTTCATGAGGACCAACACACATGTGACGGATGACATGGGACAAGTCGCTTGACCTCTTTGTCCTTTAGTGTCTTCTGTAAACTGGAACTGGGATAGCATCTGCCACACAGGGTTGTTGTTAGGATTTGATGAGACGCTCCAACGCTCTCAGCAGTGTCTGGCTGTCACTAAATGTTGGCTATTATTTTAATTATTGTGACGATTCCCACCTCTATAGTAAAACCTCACTATTCTGGTCAGTTGAGGAAAGATCCAGCTAAAATTCTAAAAGTCTAAATTATAGGTTTGAAAGTGAAAGCAGTTAACAAAATCCTGCCTCACAGAATTCTATGTGGAGATGGCAGTTATGTTTCCTGAACCAAAATTGAAACCATAGACTTTGACACTGGACTTGACGGGGCAGGATAGTCACAATCAGAACTAGCCTGGAAACTAGAATCTAAGGCACACACTTTCAGAACAAGTACAGAACTTATACTTAGAGCATTGATGATCTGTATTTAGACATTTTCTCAAAACATTATTTTGCTGTTAATTTGTGTCACCATTAAAATGGTTTTCTGGATCATGCCGTGTCTAGCTCCACACGTTTTTTTAACACAGCACAAGTTACTGGAGACAATGACTGAGTAGGTGATGAGGCAGTCACCCAGGGCCTGTGAGAGCCCAGACCCCATGTTGGCTTGGAGCCAACAGGGAAACAAGGTATTCTCTGCTGGCCAACAGCAACAGCCATGAACTTCCAGTCAGGAATGAAGTCGGCCTAACAGAAAAGCTAGGCTAGCAGTAAGTTTTCCTAGTCTTCCAGGAACTTAGGGCAAAAAGCAGCCTAAACTTAAAAAGACAGAAATGTACACAAAACTAAATGATATTAAAGGTAAGAGACCAGACCAGATCTAATACTAAGTAATGTTTTCTACTGCATTTTATGTGTTATCCTATATTTTAATCTTTAGAAAGATTCCTACGTGGGAGTCAATATTAGTATCTTCCTTTGATCCTTCAGGGAGTCTGAGACTTCAAGAGGCTGCTGTGTAGGTAACAGTTGGCCACCTGGTGGAACCATGCACATCCGGGCAGGTGACCCCGGAGTCCTCATGCTCACCACGAACTAGGATGCATTTAACACGACCAATCTGAGGTCAAACGAATATTTGTAAATACACACAGCCACAGGCTGGCAAAAACTCACTGGGACAGGCAGGATTTAAACATCTGGAGGAGAAAGGGGAAACCGGGGAGACTGTTCACACCAGGCACGAGGGGTTGGAAGGGCCAAGAGGAATGCCTGCCTTTCTGGGTACGAGGGCCATGTCATACCACCTGGGGTCAGTTTCCTTTCCACAGTGTGAAGAGGACAGCAACAGGACTAACCTGACAGCCTGGTGAAAGAGTGTGAAGAATTAAAACATGAGCAGTACCTATAGCAATATATGGTGAATACAACGTTTGCTTGATTGCAATTTTCCTTTGAAATCATATGATGGTTTATAACACAATCTAAAGCAGTGGCTCTCAAACTTGAGTGCGCATTGGAACAATCCGAAAGGCTTGTGAAAACAGGTCACGGGCCTGCCCCAAATTTCTGATGTGGTAAGTCTGGAGTGGGACCTGCAGATCTGCCTACCTCACAAGTAGCCCAGAGTGCCATTGGTGCTGGCCCCCGGGGACCACCCTCTGAGAGCTGCTTAATATATCTCATTGAAATACTGACCTAAATGCCATGTTAGGGAGTGGCAAGTGGAGCTTTACAACACCTCTATAGTGGGTGACACGCATTCACTCACATATACACTCCCTTACCAGAAACCATCTGACTCCCTAGGACAGCAGCAAAGGAAGTCCACAGTGGCAGTATATTCACAGCTTTGGGGAAACTGGGTCAACTCAGGGTCAGAAGTAGATTCTCTCCAAACCATGTAACCATGGAAGAGGACTGTGAAGCTGGAAAGATGACACGCCCCAAGCCACCTGTGTGTGGGGATGGCAAAGCCATGGTCAGACCTCCATATTCTGACCCACTGCCATGTGCTCTTTCCACTAGACATCTGGACTCCTGGGAGCCTGTGGAGGAAACAGACCACAGCCCCAGGCAGAAGTGGGACCATGCCGGCATGTCTGAGTGCTGCTGGGATGGCACCCTTGGGATTCCCTGGGAAGGTCAGGAGGGCCTCCCTGCTCCTGCACAAACACACTCCACACGTGGAGAACACGATCCTGCAGAGCTCGCCCATAATTGGCTAACATGCAGCCTGCCCCCTTTACACAGTCCTCCACTTAGGACCATGCTGACTAGCATGGATATGCTACACTCAGTTCTTGTGTCCTGTTTCACAGTCAGTGTCAACAGACTTCCAGACCTGAGTCATCATTGTATCCTAGGTGGGCATCTTTGCTGTGCTCCAGTTACTTGGGTCTACAAAAAGGGGGCACATGCCAAGAAGTGCACCTTGCCCAAGGTCCAGTGTGCCCCTGCTCCTGGGAGGGGACCTTTAGGTCCCTGGAATGTCTCGCTTAACAGAAGTGTCTTTGGCCACTAGACACTCTAGCAACATGACTTTTTTTTTTTTTTTTTTTTTGAGTTGGAGTCTCACTGTCGCCCAGACTGGAGTGCAGTGGCCGCTCCCGGCCACCGCAGCTCGACCTGCTGGGCTACGGTGATCCTTCTGCCTCAGCCTTCCAAGTAGCCAGAATTATAAGCATGCGCTACCACACCCGGCTGATTTTTTGATTTATTGTAGAGATGAGGTCTTGCTGCCCAGGCGGGTCTCGAACTGTGGGCTCAGGCAATCCACTCACCTCAGCCTCCCAAAGGCGTGGGATTACAGGCTGAGCCACCGAGCCCGGCTGCAACATGACTTATGATGGGGGTTTTGATCTGTGCGGTCAGCTCAGCCCTCTGGAGGCGAGGGGACTAATGGCACCAGTCTGACCTCCAGGAGGGGCTGATAAGAACTCCGGACACCAAGGCTCAGGTAGCTACTCATGTTGGCAGGACTCTGCATGTGCTGCCACATGGTGTGGCTGGGAGGTGAGGATGTCCATGAGGCATGGGGATAGGATGGCTTATGCAAGGCATGGGGACAGGCCAGCCTGTGTGATACATGGGGACAGGATGACTAAATCCTCAGTCTGCAGCCACCTGGACACTGCCCCTGCATCTCTTACCTTGGCTGAGTCCAATTTGTCCTTTTAAACCCCTGACCATAAGCACACGCAGTTCTGGGTCCTGCACGGTACTCTAGCCACATCCTGAGCATGAGGGTGGTGGGCGACATATGCAGCCAGCTGGAATGAACATGGGAGGTCCCAGGGACCTGACCTTGTGGCTGGCTAAGTCCTCAGTTCGCAGGGCTGCTCTACCAGACGGCGCAGTTTGGATAAATCCATCGGAGATATTGGGGAGAGAGGATAGCAGAAGTGGAGGCAGGATCTGGGTGATTCAAACAGGGACATCTGTGAAATGGTAGGCTTAGGGGTTTGGATCTGGGAAAAGGTGGATTCAGGGGAGTCTCTCTGAGATGGGAGGTGAGAGATTCAAATTCTGACATAAAAGGTGATCCCTTTGAAGAAGAGTTCTACTTCAGACCTGCTGAGTGAGGCCAGGATAGGAAGACCAGAGGCCAAGACTTCCAACATTTGTCAAACAGAGTTTTGTAAGAGTTAAAAGTGGTAACAGGCCAGGCAGTGGCTAATGACTATAATCCCAGCCTCCCACTTTGGGAGGCCAGAGGGAGGACTGTTTGAGGTCATGAGTTCAAGACCAACCTAGGCAACATAGTGAGACCCAAACTCTACAAAAAATCAAAAAATAAGCTGGGTGTGATGGCACGTGCCTACAGTCCCAGATACTCAGGAGGCTGAGGCAGGAGGATTGCCTGAGCCCAGGAGGTCGAGGCTGTGGTGAGCCAACTCCAGCCTGGTTGACAGAGTGAGATCCCAACTCAAAAAAGAGTTGAATGTGGTGATGTGGAAGCATCTTAACGTGGCCAAACGAAAGGGTGAAAAAATAGAAGGCCATAAATAACTGTCTCAGAAAACCAGAGAGCAACCATCACATGCTGAGTTACCCTGAAGTCAAGACTTGCTTGGAATTTTCTCTCTCAGACTGGAAAGTGACCTCAGCTTTTTGATTTGCCACATTTCTATATTCAAAACGTTAGCTGGACTTGCAATCCAGTTTATTTTCTGGTGTGTGTCCAGGAGACATTTTGATCCAAAACACTGGGGTGCTAAAGAAAAGTGGTTCACATGTTTCAAATTTCCCCAAATGTCCTCCCATTTCTAGAGACAGGGTCTCTGTCGCCCAGGCAGGAGGGCAGTGGCACAATCACAGCTCACGGCAACCTCAACCTCCAGCGATCCTCCTGCCTTGGCCTCCCAGGCAGCTGGGTCTACAGGTGTGTGCCACTACACCTGGCTAACTTTTTATTTTTTTAACTTTAGAAATGGGGGTCTCGCTATGTTGCCCAGGCGGGTCTCGAATTCCAAGTGATCCTCCCGCCTCGACCTCCCAAAGTGCTGGGACTACAGAGGGCCTCACTGGCCACATTCCTCCCTGTGTCTGCCTCATCTCTCCACTGCTGACACCAGGGGTTACATTTTCCAGAAAATGCCATTTTAAAGTGGTGCCCGGCATAGGAGGACAGCCCCAGAGTTCCCTGCGGGTGGGGGCCTCGGGGTTGAGGCTCGCGGGGGAACAGGCAGTCTGGGGACGGCGCCCCAGATGGGTGGGTGCGCCGGACTCCTCGAGTGTGTCGCAGCCGAGCAGGGCGGTGAGGCTGGTTCCCACCTGGATTAGGATGGATCCCACAGGGTCGCAGCTTCCGGCCTCCAGCGCCATGGCCTGGGCCCGAGAGCCTGCCTCAGTAGAGGCTCGGCCACCAGGAGCTGAAACCTGCGGCTGCGCGCCCGTCCCCATGGCAACACCCGCGCGGCCCGGCCGGCTCCACTCCGGATGCGGAGAGGGGAGAGCCACGGCGGCAGGTCAACGCAGCGCATGCGCCGCTCCTCGCCGCCCCCCTCCAGCCCCCGCCGGCGCCGTGGTGTAGCCCGAGGCGGAAGTGGCTCCCGGCGGAAGCGGCGCGGGGCAGTCATGGCCGCTGGTATCCCCTGCGCGTTGGTAACGAGCTGCTCCTCCGCCTTCTCCGGAGACCGGCTGGTCCAACGTGAGTAACCTCTAGGGCGTCCGGGCCGCGGCGGGCGACTGCCCCGGCGCCGTGGCCGCTCTTTGGGCCTCGTCCCCCGGGCCGGGTCCCCTGCGTCGGTCCCGGCGCCTCCTGCCAGCCCGGCCTCCTCCGGAGGCCTGGGGTTCCTGGGAAACCAGGCTGGTCCCTGTCCTGCAGCCCGGCCACAGGGAGCTGAGGGATCCCCCGAAATGACCCCAGAGGCACTCTGTGGGAAGGGCTGGGGTTGCCGACATTGGAGGTCCCTTGAAATGACCCCAGAGGAGCTCTGTGGAGGGGCTGGGGTTGTTGACATTGGGGGTCCCCTGAGATGATCCCAGAGGCACTTTGCGGAGGGGCTGGTGTTGTCGGCATTGGGGGTCCCCTGAGGTGACCCCAGAAGTGCTCTGTGGGAGTAGCTGAGGTTTTCGGCATTGGGAGTCCCCTGAGATGATCCCAGAGGCGCTCTGCGGAGAGGCTGGGTTTGTCGGCATTGGGGGTCCCCTGAGATGACCCCAGAGGAGCTCTGTGGAGGGGCTGGGGTTGTTGACATTGGGGGTCCCCTGAGATGATCCCAGAGGCACTTTGCGGAGGGGCTGGTGTTGTCGGCATTGGGGGTCCCCTGAGGTGACCCCAGAAGTGCTCTGTGGGAGTAGCTGAGGTTTTCGGCATTGGGAGTCCCCTGAGATGATCCCAGAGGCGCTCTGCGGAGAGGCTGGGTTTGTCGGCATTGGGGGTCCCCTGAGATGACCCCAGAGGCGCCCTGTGGCATGTCCTAGGATTGTCGATATTTGAGATTCCTTGCGATGACCCCAGCGTGCTCCGCGGGAGGGGTGAGTTGTCGATATTGGGGTTTTTGTTGCTATCCCTGCTGCTGTCCTAGAAAGGACATTTGAGTCCAATTCTGGGCGACCCCTAATGTGTGTATTAGGAGACTTCTTGTTAACCCTGTTCCTCTATGCTAGTTATTCTCGCCTTACCTCAGTCCTGGGGTCCCCGCCCACTTTAGTGTTTGGGTCTTGCTCCGCCTCAGGCTTCTGCTTCTGGACCCTCAGAGTGGCTGGCTGTCACACGAGTAACTGGTTTAAAAATTTGGGGCAAGGGAGGAGACCAGATTAGTGGAGAGTGCAGCGGATGGGTGGTCAACGCACTCTACCTCCAGGTGCTCTGCAGCATTTAATTGCTTGTAACTCAAGACTTCTGTGTTGTGTGTGGCTTAGAACCAGGGCAGTGCCTCTTAGCTGCATGGGTGCAGGCGAGTCACTTAACCTCTGCCCCTCAGATTTTCTACCTGTAAAATGGGGATAATTTTCACAGGACTGTGATTAACCCAGAGGCTGGCACAAGTAAGCATTTGATAAATGACAGGCATTATTAAAGCACATTACTGTCTCTCTAATTCTAATCCCTCAATATCCTGATCCGTAAAATGGAGCATATGAACTATCTCACAGAACTGTTTGAAGGACGGGTGATATGACGTGTTGAAAGCACTTTGTTAAGCATTGTGCAATTACAGTTTCTTTTCTACACCTCAGATGATAGAATTAGGCAAGATGTCTGTGCCTAATATTCTGTGACTTAGTTATCACTGTGATCATTTAGAATATTCCTTGCTAGGGTAGAAGTTTGGTTATAGTACTCATTAAGTGGTGACTGACTGGTCCAATTGGCCATTTCCTTGCCTTTAGTGCTCCTGCCCATTTCCCCTTCCTTCCTTCCCTCCCTCTTTTCTTCCCTCCTGTTTTCCTTTTCTTTTTTCTTTCTTTTTAAAAAAATTGCTTCATTGGAAAACTAGTGCATACTCATTCTGTAAAACTTAGCATATAAAAAAAGAAAATAACCATAGTCTCATTACACAACCACACAAATATTGCTAATATTTTTGTGCATTACTTTGCAGCCTTTTCATCCAATATATAGTTTTTAAAAAGAAATAATTGCAATTATAGTTCACATATGATTCTTACCTTGATATTTTATCCTGATATGTATAAAAATTAATTCCCCTTGCATATCCATCTAGTGAATATGCCAGAAATTGCTCAAGATTCTTAAAGATGCCTGAAGACTTATATGCATTTTGATTTCCATTACTGGTGCTATCATATGCTTTGAGGATCAGAATTGGAAAATGTTGTCACTGCCTTTAAGTAGCTGATCACCTATAGTTGGCAAAGAGTAACATTATCCTTCTATAAATATATTAACATTATTGAAGGTAAAACTAATTCTAAAATAATCCATTTTATTTATGTAAAATATCTCTTCAATAACTCCAATTCAGGCTAAAAGCAGAGGACCTTTTCTTTGCAACTCAGTTCACGTAGTGAAAAGCGAAGGGGAAGCGACTAGAGATCAGATACTTAAGGAGGAACAGTGAGCTGTGAAAAGGCTTAGCATTTCTCCCAGTTAAGAGTAGAGCGGTTGCGGCTTAGAATGAAACATTGGCTGAGCATTCACTCTTTTATCATAATTAATGAGAAATTGATCATGGGCTGAGTCTAATTTTGAGATAAGAGAGGACACTATCATGATGGTTGTCAGTGTCCAGAGATGTTAGGCCATGGGATAGTTTAGGACAGAGTCTGCTTTACCTCTCTGGGGAAGTTTGGTTCTATTCCATGTATCAACAAGAGATACCTTCCGGGTTCTCCAGTTTTTCTTTGACATCTGATTTACTGCTTTTAAAAAATGGTCATAATCAAATAACTCTGTTAGAAATATTCTTAAAATCAGTAAGCCTGTATTGTGGGTAAGTGCTTGCATGGGCTTTGTGAGAAACATTTGTTTTCTTGCTGTCATTCAAAGGTCTTATTTACAGTATTCTGGACGTATGTCTGTTGTCAGCTAAAAGGGGTATGACTCAGTGTAGACTTGTCAAGGGAGAGAGAGACACAGGATGCTTACTTGTGCAAGGTGTAGGTGGCGTGAGGCGAGTGTCTGCCTTCCAGGGCCAAGGTGCTTTCTAGCTCGCCTATGTTTTAGTAGTATTTCACTTTATTCTGGAAAAACGCATTCTGATATTTATTAAACATAGAGCTGGTCTCAGTTCTAGTCACTGCAGCTAAAATGGTGACTACAATCCTATTCCTGTGCTTGAGAGGGAAATGGTGAAAGTGTTGCTGTACCTGTAAAATATTAAAATACAGGCATTCAAGTTTTCACATCTTACTCTACTTCCCTGGAGGGAATTTTGAAGAGAAAGGTCCTGGAGACTTGTTGGGTTTAAAGTATGTAATGCCAGCTTGGCGGCTGTGGCCCATTCAGTGTCTACAACTGAATAAACGCCCAGGACATCTGGAGCAGCATTCTTTCTTCTAGTGAAATGTAGGAATCCAGAGATCAGACAAATGTTTATGTGTATGTCAGGGCTCTTCCCAAACATGCTTTCACATAGTTTAATGCGGTCCTTGTAACCCTGTAAAGGCAGCTTATGTCCAAGAAACTGTGACTTGTAAATATGAGGTGACCTGCCCAAAGTGCTCAGCTGGCAAGTGCGGGAGTGTGTGTTTAGATTTGGGCTGAGCATGATAGGAATGTGTGGGGAAATGTGTTGGGATTGCTTAGTAGTTAAAGATGGTGGCATTGGTAGAGATGATATAACAGATTAGCCTCTAAAAGAAGATTTTAAAGTGTGTCACATTGTCATGTGAATGACTAAAGTCCTGATTCTGAATAGAGGGGAAAACCCTTGCCCAGGGGACATATCCTAAACAGAGCATTAATATATATATTATGTTAAACATATGTTTAAAAGGGTGTTAGGCGTGCTTGGGAGTCTTCAACAATGTTTGGATTTTATTTTCTCAATTGAGTGAACTCAAGTGGAGACATAAAATATTGGTTCTTCCCACTACACAGGACTACCATTAAAAACAAAGAGTCGCTCCTCCCACTACATGGGAATAATATTATAAATAAAGGGTTGTTTTTACCACTACACAGGAATGACGTTAAAAATCAAGGGTTTCTTTTCCTACTACACAGGAATGACGTTAAAATTAAAGTTTCCTTCCTTCCACTACACAGGAACGACATTAAAAATAAAAGGTTGTTCCTCCCGCTTCACAGGAATGATGTTAAAAATAAAAGGTCATTCCTCCCACTACACAGGAATGACATTAAAAATAAAGGGTTGTTCCTCCCACTACACAGGAGTAACTTTAAAAATAAAGGGTCCTGAGGTGAAAGGATTGCCGGAGCCCAGCAGGTCGACATTGGGCTGGCTCTGAGTGTGCCCCTGCACTCCAACCTGGGCGACAGAGTAAGACTCCAACTCAAAAAAATAAAATTAAATAAATAAATAAATAAAAATAAAGGGTCGTTCCTCCTGCTACATGGGGATAATGTTAAAAATAAAGGATCGTACCTCCCTCTACACAGGGATGATGTTAAAAATCAAGAGTCGTTCCTCCCACTACAGGGGAATGACGGTAAAAATAAAGGGTTGTTCCTCCTGCTACACAGTAATAACCTTAAATATAAAGAGTCGTTCCTGATGAACTCTATCCTCTCTGAATGTAAAATTATATGTAATCATGCTAATTATTATTTTTTTTTGAGTTGGAGTCTCACTCTGTCACCCAGACTGGAGGGCAGTGGCACACTCCCAGTCACTGCAGCCTCGACCTGCTGGGCTCCAGTGATCCTTCCGCCTCAGCCTTCCAAGTAGCTGGAACTACAGACGTGCACTACCATGCCCGGCTAATTTTTATTTATTGTAGAGATGAGGTCTCGCCAAGTTGCCCAAGCGGGTCTCGAACCCACGGGCTCAGGCAATCCACTCACCTCAGCCTCCCAAAGCATTGGGATTACAGGCTGAGCCATTGAGCCCAGTCAATTACTTATTTTAATATAAGATTATGTAATCTTTGACCTTGGCATTCTTAATTTTTGTGTGTATTTATTTTTTGAAAACTTAAGAAATAAACTTTAGTTTAAGACACTTGACTTGTTGATTAGAAAATTTCACTTTTTGTGTTTGAAATTCAGGGGGCATT